TGTTATGTGTTGACCATTATTTTCTTTCAGCACTTTAAAAATGTTGTGCCACTTTCTGCTGGATTGCATGGTTCCTGGTAAGCAATCTGTAGTCAAATTTTTACCCTGCAGATAATACATTGTTCTTCTCTGGCTGCTTTCAAGACTTTGTCTTTATTTTTCAGCATTTCAATTATCATATATTTGGGCAGAGATTTCTTTGTGATCATCGTGTTTGGGCTTTGTTGAACTTCTTGAATCTATATTTATGTCTTTTGTCAAATCTGAATACTTATTCAAAAATTTTCAGCACCTTTTATTATTGTCCCACAAGTCCCTCAGATTCTATTCACTGTTTAGCCAATATTTTTTTCTCTCTGTTGTTCAGATTGGATAACTTCTATTGCTTTATTTGCAAGTTTACTGATGCTTTTCTCTGTCATCTCCACTCTGCTAATGAGAGCATCCATTGAATTCTTAAATTTTTGGCCACTATAGTTTTCAATTCTAAAATAACCACTTGGCTTTTCATTGTATTTTCCATTTCTTTGCTGAAACTTTCTGTTTTTCCACTGGTTTCAAAAGTGCATTTGATTACTTATAAGAGAATTTTTTATAATAGTCAAGAACTTTGAAGGTCTGAGGTTTTACCTTAACTCGCAAATTAATAAGTTAAGCCACCATAGTTTCATGGATAACGGCAGAAGACATGAGTCTCCTGGGTCAGAAACAAAGAAGAATCTATTAGCCACAGCAGTAGCAGGAAGCAGAATTTCAACATTTATGCTAGATTCCTAAGTCCCAGTTCCCACAGAGGACAAGGTGATCCTGTACATGAAGTGAGTTGCGTTATAAGAAAGGAACTCTATGGGAAACTCCAACCTGTAATAAGAGGCTAGCAAACCTATCCAACTGTGCCATGAAAAGAGATGATCTTTTTTATCCTGGACAGCAAACAAATTCACCCTTGTCCTCACAGGAAGATATTATCTCTGTCTTCCAAGGATGTTTAAAGTACAAGCATCCCTGAAAAGATAATCCAGGAAAAAACCTGTTAATGCCTTTGCCCAAAAGACATGTGGAAATACAAGAGATGAATGGAAAATCATCTCCCAACAAATAACTGCTTTAAGGCCTTTTCTCACATGATTCTATCATCTCTCAATCCTCTCAATGTTGGCGTCTTTTTTCCCCATGTAAATTGTGATTTTTCTGGTTCTTAGTATGCATAATAATTGTGGATTGTATCCTGGACATTTTGAATATGCTGTTTTGAGACTCAAGGTCTTGTTTAAATTCTGTCAAGAATATTGATGTTTTTATATTAGCAGACAATAAACCTGGGTAGGTTTAGAGTAGCAGTCTGTGGGTAGGAAAGGGCATACTAATATAAATATCTACCAAAAAGAAACAAAAAAACAAAACACCCCACAGTGTTTATTACATTCCAGAATAATAAATCTAGAAATGCCTTTCTCTTCTCCTCTAGAGGGAATTTGCTTACATTTCAAGATAGTGAGTAATCTCTCCTGAGGGAGGAATGATCCAGTAACCAGCAGCCTTGAGAAAAGCTTAAAGACTCCCAAATTCAGAATTATTCTCCTGTAATGCAACCCACTGCATGTACATCTGGCCCTCATCCTATCACCTGCGGGAATTGGGGCATGAAGAATTGACACAAGATATTGCTATAAATGCTGTTTGCTGTGAATAACTAATCTTCTATGCTCCTAGCCCAGGAGTTTGGTGACTTCTGTCAGTAAATATGTATGAAACTATGGCAGGCTAACCTGCTAGCTCACTAGAAGAATACACTCTCAGACACTCCCGTTTCTGTCTTAAGAGTGGCAGAATCAAGTTAAAGTAGGCAGAGGCCAAATCATGTAGGGCCATAGATCAGGTACTGGATGGACTGTTGATGTCAAGAATAATGACAGGAGTAGCAGTGAAGAGAAGGACAGGACATCACATGTTGAACTCTTTTGTGATAAGAGGAAAGGACTACCAGGGCAGTAGATGACTGAAGAAGGGAGAATGAATGATGTAGAATAATGGTACATGCCTAAGGGTACAGGATTTTAGAAAGGAAGAGAGAAGGTGTGGAATTGCCAATAGGGAGAAAGCAAGACACCTCGCTCATCTGTAGGCTCTTTGTTTAGGGGAGTGAGGGACTAAAACCCACACATAACTTGAAAGTATTGCAGAGGAAGCCATGTTTTCAGGAAATGGCTGAGTTTTTGGTTAGAGTAAGAGGATAAAGGGAATGTTTAAAAAAATGTTAAAGATATAGGGAATTTGATCTCAGCACAATGGAAGAATCAAATAGATTAAAAGAAATGGGAAGTTAGGCTACATTAGAGCAAAGCATTGTGGGATTACAGATCTGTATGTGGGGACCTCTGTGTGGGTCAGTTGCTTAGGACACTGACTTTTGATTTCAGCTCAGGTCATGATCTTGCAATTCGGGGGTTCGAGCCCCACATTGGGCTCTGTGCTGAGAGTACAGAGCCTGCTTGGGGTTCTCTCTCTCTCTACCCCTCCCCTGCTCTCTCTCTCTCTCTCTCTCTCAAAAAAATAAATAAATAAATAAACTTAAAAAGAAAAAAGAATCTGTATATGAACTTGACCTGTTAAAAGAGGCAAATAGGGGGTGCCTGGGTGCTCAGTCGGTTAAGCGTCTGACTCTTGATTTCGGCTCCAGTCATGATCTCAATGTTTGGTGGGATCGAGCCCCATGTTGGGCTCTGTGCTGTGACAATGCGGATCCTGCTTAGGATTCTCTCTCTCCTCTCCCTGCCCCCACCTCAAAATAAAGAAATAAAACTTTAAAAAAGAGGTAAATAGACATATGAGATATGATGGGGTTATATCTCATTTTTTTAAAGGAGGTATAATTACAGCTTGTTGAGATTGTTCTTTAAGCAGTTTGTAGATGTAATTTAGTCCCTTGGGATTGTTCTCTTAGGCAGTTTATACTGATAAAGTAGGAAGACGTGATGGGGTGGTGGGAGTGTGGAGGGAGCAGACTTACCAGGAGCACACTGAAGTCTGTGCCTCTAAAATCCAGTTGGGATTTTGGCTGAAAGGATCTGTGGAGCCATTATTTAAATCCAGGAACTTTGGGAACCTTGGAGGCTCCCTTTATAGACTAAATCTTTGGTCTTGCTGCTGGACAATCCTCCAGGGACATGGAAATCCTACTGTAGATGAGAAAGAGCATGATGATATAAAATATCTACCTGCAAAACCCAAGAAAAGCAACATCATTTTAGGTCTTTCCTCAGACTTGAACTTCTCAGAGGGTGCTTATTTGAACACATTATCTGAAATAGTATTTTTCACAGTCACTTTCTATCCCTTATTATGCTTCCCCCAACTTCTTAGCACTTATCACCCTGTCATATGTTTATTTGCTTAGTATTTCCTCTCGGGAGAGTAGAAAGATCTTTTTTCTTTTTTAACTTTTTTAATGTTTTATTTATTTTTGACAGAAATAGAGCATGACATGGGGAGGTGCAGAGAGAGAGGGAGACAGAATCCAGGCCCTGAGCCCACACAGAGCCCGACATGGGGCTCGAACCCATGAACCACGAGATCATGACCTGAGCCGAAGTCAGATGCTCAACCGACTGAGCCACCCAGGCGCCCCTATAAAGATCTTAAGAACAGATTTTTTTACTTATTTCCAGGACCCAGAATAGTGCCTGGCACACTGTAAGTACCCAATAAATATTTATAGAATGAGTGAATGGAAACATTGAAGAATATTAGGATAATCAAATGAGTTCAGTAATGAGACCAATTATAAAACCACAATAGTATTTCTACAGATAGCAAAAGCCATTTGAAAAATACAGAAAAAGATCATAATTATAAATAACAAAAAATATAAGATATCCAAAACTAAATAACATTCAAATTTTACTGACAAAAGAACTGAATAAATAAAGAAGTATACCATGTTGTTGAATGGAAAAACATATTGTAAGAATTCCCCCTAAGTTAATCTATGAAGTTAACACAGTATCAATCAAAACCCTAAAGTTTTAGGGGAAAGGGGGAAGAAGACTTGACAAAAAGATTTTAAATGTCATCAGGAAGAATAAATGCTGTAGAACAGTGAATTAAATTCTGAAGAAAGGTACTGATAAGGGACCTTGCTCTACCAGACACAAAAACGTAGGAAAAGACAAATTGGTGGTATATATCAAAAGCTTTAAAAAAAAAAAAAAAAAAAAAAAAGGATATACCCTTTAGCCCAGATGTACCATTGCTAGAATTTTTTCCTGAGAAATAGACGATATGGCAAAACTGTTTATTAAAGCAGTGTCTGTAATGCCAAAACAACAGGAACAATCGGTGTTTCACAAGTAGAGAATGTTTCAAACCAATCATGCCTTAAACAAATAACTGTGGAATACCATGGAAGCTTTGAGAATTATGTAGAACTACATTAATTGCTATGGGAGGTATTCACCATATATTTCTATGTTTGTTTGTTTTTTAAGCTGATTATAAAACAGTGTATCTAGCAGTGTCCTCATTTATGTAAAATTTTTAAATAATAATTTACATATATAGGTGGAGAAATAACCTGGATGGAAGGTTATACATCAAAATATTAACAGTAGCTCCCTTGAAATAAGAATTAAGGATTATTAAACAGGTTTTTGTTTGTTTTTTGAGTTGTATACTGAAAAACTAGTTTAGTTTTCCCCCAAAATGGGATGACAGTTAAATTCTTCACTGTTGCCACCTGGTGGCTACCACAGAGAAGTTTCTTATTTCTTTGCTATCACCTTAAGAAATAATACATGCAACATCATAATTCTAAAATTGTAAAGAAATCTATAGTATCACCTAGTTCTATTCATCATTTTATAGCTAAGGAAATAAAAGCAAAAAATTTAAGCCACTTGACTGAAGTCACACTGTTGGTAAAACTTATTAATAGTAACAAACATTTGTTGAGCCCTTTTTTCTAAGTACTTTATATGGATTATCTCATCTTATTCTCATAGGAACCTATGAGGTAGATCCTATTTTTACTCTCATTTATCCCCATCTAACATATGAGGATCCTGAAGCTCAGAGAAGGTAAGTGACTTACCCAAGTTTGCACAGGCAGGGCAGAGCCAGGCATTGCGAGGTCCACCTCCCTCTCCTGAACCTTCCCCGTTGTGCCATCGTACTATATGCCAACCCCTCTTCCTTCACTGCTTTTGGTGACAATTCTTGGCATATCCCCAATGTCATGTTCCTCATGGTTGGGAAAAAAGTATAAACATTTACTGAGAGGGAAGCGAAATAACTTTACCCCCCATGTCTTGTAAGAATCCTGTCCAGGTAAAAACAGACTTACTTTGAGTTGTTCTAGGGTCCAGATAGTAGAGACTCTTCTGTCAGAGACTTGGGACTAGGGATAGGTTTACTTGGGTTCCCCTGCTCCAGTTTTATGCTGTGCTCCCTGCTTAAGTTTTTTGATCCCAGAGCTTAGAGTTAACATCACTACATGCACTTATTCATGAACTACCCCCACACCCCTCTCTCTCTTAGCTCTTGCCCAACTTCTCGGGACAATAGTCTCTGACTTTGCATCTCTATCCTTGTGCCTCAAAACCAAATGGTGTAAGTGCTAATAAATGTAAATCCTGTGCTAGGGGTAAATCTATTGGAAGTGAAATTAGAAATCTGAAACAACTAGTGGCTTTACCCTCTGAAACCCTTTGGAAACCCAGGAAGTCTTTCAGAATTGCTCCCAAAATGAAGGCATATCTTTGAATTATCATCTAATTAAAGCTTTTTCTCAGGTACCATCTTGCTTGAAAATAAATTTTAAAATGTATACAAAGGGGCAGCTGGGTGACTCAGTCGTTTAAGCATCCTACTTCAGCTCAGGTCTCATGATCTCACTGTCTGTGAGTTCGAGCCCCATGTCGGACTGACAGCTCAGAACCTGGAGCCTGCTTCAGATTCTGTGTCTCCCTCTCTCTCTCTCTGCCCCTCCCCTGCTCATGCTGTGTCTCTCTCTGTTACAAAAATAAATAAAAAACATTTTTTAAAATGTATACAAATACTGTAAAAGTGTTATTTTCTTTATTTTCCAGCTTTATATTTTTAGAGGACAGTGCAAGCATGAAAATACCTTAGGTGCTAGACAGTCTTGAGTTAAAATTCACATATTAGCTATCACACATTAGGTATGACTTGAGTAAATTATTAAATTACATTTTCATTTAAACTTTTTCTTATCTCTAAAATTAAGGATCATAACATCTGCTTCTAGAGTCTTCCTTTCCCCTCTTCCTCCCTTTAAGAAGAGATGATGATTTTTCCTGTCTGAGATTGTCTCCCATATGTCCTGCCTCCTTAAAGGTCTTGACTTAGCCTTTACATAAGTCTCTCCCATCTTAAATAAAACTGAAAAGAAGAAAAAAATTCCTCTGTCTGCATCTCGAGTCAGCTGCCCATCTCTCTCTCCTGCTTTTTAAAGTCAAACTTTCTGAAATACAGCAAAACCTTGGTTTGCAAATATAATTTGTTCCGGAAACATGCTTGTAATCCAAAGGACTCCTATATCAAAGCGAATTTCAAGAACCATTGGCTCAGTTGTGATCATGTGACATTCGGTGTCATGTACTACTTGTATTGCAAGACATTGCTCATTTATCAAGTTAAAATTTATTAGAAATGTTTGCTCGTTTTGTGGAACACTCACAGAACAAGTTACTCGTGATCCAAGGTTTTACTGTACTTCTTTACCATCTTTGCATTGCATCACCTCTCATTCATTCTAGTTTCTCCAAAAGTCCTTAGAAACACCTTACTCCTGCTTTGGTAATTTTCTTCCCTAAATTTTTCCAAGACGTACTTCTTTTATTGTTTTTCTCCTACTTCCCTGATTGCTACCCTTCTTGTCCCTTCCCTTAAAGTTTGTGTAACTCACTTTCTGATCTGGGTTCTTCTTATTCTGCAAAATCTCCCTTGGCAATCTTTCCCATGTCCATAGCTTCAATTACCACCCAAATCCGTGCGCCCAGCCCACATCCCCTCTGCTGGACTCACAGATTACATGACCTAGTGCTTGCTTGATTCCCCCTTGGATTTCTACAAGTGCCCCAAAATAAAGATGTCATCTTCCTTCTCCAAACTTATTTCTCCTCCAGTGTTACTTATTTTTTAGTGACTGGTGCCATCACTTAACCAGGTGTTCATGGGTTTTTTTCTTGGTTTCTCCTTCTCCTTCAGCTCCTCCCACTCCCAGTCCAGCTAATCATCATGTCCCATTAATTCTACTATATTGGATTAAATTGTGTCCCTCCCTCAAAAAATATATCTAAGTCCTAACCCCCTGGTAACTATGACCTTATTTGCAAATAGGATCTTTGCAATGTGATTAACTTAAGGATCTCAAACAAGATCATATGACTGGTATCCTTATATGAGAAAGAAGAGGTGGAAGGAAAGGGAGAATTGAGACCCAGACAGAGGGGGAAAGGCCTTGTGCAGGGCCCTGTGATGGTGCAGGGAGCTCCTGGAGTGATGCTGCTCCAGTCCAAGGAACACCAAGGACTGCCAGCCCTTATCAACACCTTGACTGCAGCCTCTGGCCCCCGAAACTTTGAAAGAACAAATTTCTGTTGTTTTGAACGTATAAGAGTGTGGTAATTTGTTATGTAGTCCTGGGAAAACTAACATAGCTACCTTCTAAATATCTCTTGAGATCCATCCATGTTTCTCCATCTTCACTGCCCCTATCTTATTCAGGCCACAATTAAATCAATCTTCTGCCTTGTCTCCCTGCTGCTAGTCTCAGCCCATCATTTGCAAAGGCATGAAATCTCCCTTACTATTGACAATCTGTGAGTGGTTTGCCAATGACTCCTGGATTGAGTCTAAATGCCTGGTGTCATAGCTTACAGGACTTCCACTTTGGTTTGTGCTCACTTGTGTAGCCTTATTTCTCACCCACCCTCAATTCTACGCTCTAGGTACGGTAATAATTTCTGATATTTATGGGACACTTATTCTGTGCCAGACACAGCTAAATCTCACAACCACTCCACAAGACAGGAACAAGCTTCTTTCAGTGTCTCAGCCTTTTTTTCTCTTGTCTCTGGGACTTTGCACATGCTGTTCTCTGCCTAAAATAATCTTACTTCCTCTTCCCTTGTTCTTTGTCCCCCTCCTCATCTAGCTAATTCACACACCTTAGGTCTCAGCTCATCCAGCACCCCCTCCATGAGGGATTCCCAGACCTTCCTAAATCTGGGTTATGTGCCCCACCCCAATTGCCCATATTTGCATTACACCCTGCACTTCTCCTATCATCATATACAATATAATTGTCTTATATTTCTTTTTTTTCTTAGTCCATTTGGGCTACCATAAAACATCGCAGACTGGGGGGGCGGGGGGAGAGGGAGCAGTGGGTATAAACAACAGACATTTATTCCTAACAGTTCTGGAGCCTGGAAGTCTGATGTCAGACTTCCAGTGCCGGGGGTGGGTGATGGCCCTCTTTTGGGTTGCAGCCTTCTCTTTGGAACCCCACATGGTGAAAAGGGTAAGCAAGTTCTCTCTTCAGCCTCTCTTGTAAGAGCACTAATCCCATTCATGAGGCCTCTACTCTCATGAACTAATAACCTCTCAAAGGTTTCTCTTCGTAATCTATCAGCCTTGAGAGTTAGGATTTCAACATACGAATTCACATGGAACACATTCAGACCACAGCAACGGGCCTATATCTCACATTGTGTTTTATGCTTCCTGTGGACTGAGGCCATACCCATGTCTTGTAACACCATCCCTGGAGTCTAGCACAGTGCCCGGCACATAAGAGATGCTCAATCAATACATGTTGAGTAAATGAAAGAAACTTGAATAAAGATTGCTACTAGCATTATGTCTCTAACACCAGCTAGGGTGGAAAGGAATGTACCTCCAGACCAAGTTGCCAACCGTTTCCTTCCTCAAAATCCTGATGCCTCCTAGGCCTTTGCTTGGGCCAGTTCTCAAACCTCATTGCAAAGGATTTCCCTGAGACCTGTAGGGCCAGTGAATCCTCACTTCCCTATCATGCTCAGCCCCTCCCCAATACAAGACTCTCCAGGTGGTCGTCCTCTCCCATTCTGCTCTGCAATCCTACCAGACCCTTCTTGCTCTTTTTCCCTGGGCCCTCTGGCACTCCAGCCTGTTTGAAACAAACTCACCTATATTCTCATCGTTGCAACAAAATACTCCTTCTACCTCCTGCCTTTAAACAGAAAGCCTTCTGCTTTCCCTTGAGAAGACTACCTTTTCTACCACCACCTGGGGTGGTTATGTTAACCATACTGGATTGATTATTCTTTTGGAACGCTAGGCTGTAATTCATCGGGTTCCTGAGATTTGAATTTAGTTTCGACCGTTTCCAAGTATTGGCTATTACATAATAGAAGAATTAGAGTTTCTAAAAGGATTTGAAAACAGCAGTAAAGATGTTTATTTTGGAAAGATCCTATAACCATGAATTGCTTTAAAAATGCCACTGAGGGGCGCCTGGGTGGCGCAGTCGGTTAAGCGTCCGACTTCAGCCAGGTCACGATCTCGCGGTCCGTGAGTTCGAGCCCCGCGTCAGGCTCTGAGCTGATGGCTCGGAGCCTGGAGCCTGTTTCCGATTCTGTGTCTCCCTCTCTCTCTGCCCCTCCCCCGTTCATGCTCTGTCTCTCTCTGTCCCAAAAATAAATAAAAAAACGTTGAAAAAAAATTTAAAAATGCCACTGAACCTAACCATAGCCTCTGAATTTGTCTCACAACTACCAAATTCAAAATGAAAGTACAAAACAAGTGGCACCTGTACCTTGGAGACCTCAGAAACACTACATACGCTACTGATACTGCTTCTTAGCAAACTCCGGGTTTCCTCTAGGCTGTAAGATCCATTGCCCATGAGATACAGCTGCTGCAGGTAGGGGTGGGGTCTTATCAATTAAATGTCTGACCTAGAGCAGTACTCATATCTTGACTTAATTTCTAATGGCCCAGGACTTTGTGGCAAATGATAAAAATCATTAGCTTTTTCTTTTATAATTTATCTAATTTCTAACCTGATGCAA